ATTTGCTGATGATGCTGCCTTATAGTCCACAATGAAGCCCTACTACAAGAACTCATGGATCACCTTTCAAGAGCTTGTCAGGCATTTGCTCCCACTATCAGCATAAAGGGAAAAGTTGTACTAGGACAAAGAGTTCAGTTCCACAAGATCCGTCAATCACCCTTAATGAGAACTAGCTAGAAGTAGTCCAAAAGTTCAGCTACCTAGGTTCTACAGTGACCACCAACCTTTCACTGGATGAAGAGCTAATGTTCACATCAGAAAGTCTGCTGAAGGTGGTAGCAGCCTAACTAAAAGAGCATAGAACAACTCAAAGCTTACCATCAAGACCAAAATGCTAGTGTACAAAACTTGCGAGCTCAGCACTCTCATATATGGTGGGGAAACACGGACAGCTTATGCCCATCAAGAGAAAAGGTTAAACAGCTTCCACCTGAGCTGTTTATGCCACATACTCAACATCAAATGGCAAGATAAAGTTACCAATGCAGAGGTTCTTCAGAGGGCAAATTTGCCAAGTGTGACACCTCTACTCAGAGATGACTGCACTGGCTAGGCCAGGAGTTGTCAACCAGGGGTACCTGAAAAGGGACTAGGGGGTATGTGCGGACGGGTGGGGATGGAGCCCCCGCTCCACATCTGGCCACTGCCACCCCCCTTCACTCCACATCTGACCACTGCTACCCCCCCACTTCATGTCTGACCTCTGCCCCCCTCCACCTCCTCCCATGCCCCACCCCACTCCACCAGAAGTGTACCCAGAAGGGGTAAACTCCTTAAAAAAGGCTAGGCCGTCTGAGTAGATTGGAAGATGGACATATACCCAAGGACATGCTGTATGGGGAATTATTGGAGGGAACAAGAACAACAGGACACCCCAAACTTCGCTATAAAGACACATGCAAGCAAGACTTCTACCTTTTTTCCCTTTAGGATAGCCTGATTTTGTGCCTTTCCAATGGCTTCCTCAAGGCACAAAAGGCATGGCAGATATGCACCTTTGTAGACTAACTAAGATACATATATGGAGCACATGCTTCTGTGAACCTAAGTTCACTCTCATGGACTCTTCCCCCCCCCCCCCCCCCCCCACCCCCTCCCCCC